ATAATTGATATATTTATTTAGAAATATTTTTAAATATCTAAAAATTCATATTTTCTAGTTTTATAAATTTTAAATTTATGTAATTTACTATACAATGACTAAGTCACGTCAGAGCACACATTGCATAAGTAAACGTCTTGTGTTAAAAGTTCCACGAAAGTTGTTGATGTCAACCCTAACTAGATTCAATTTTCTTCTTTACTCCACACGATGTTTTCTTGGTTTCTTCATTATTTAGATTGTTTCTCCTCATATTTCCTTCATTGAGATATTATGTTTTACTACTAGAACATCTGTTCATTACAATAAGGTACATTTCTAATTATTTAGTATAAAATTTTGAATAAAATATTCTAATAAAACCCTATTTAAGCATATGCTTCATTAATCAATAAGAGAATTTTGAGGTAGGATTCAATGAAACTACAGGTGACCTCTTCTTGAATATAAAAGTAAACATGCAACTGATAGGTTCAAGCTCACAAAATTAGCTAGAATAGTGGAGCCTTGACAAATGCACTGATTGCCTTGTTTCTATGAACATTACAACTAAAGACTTCCAAATCATGCCATGATGAAACGATAATAAATTAATGACTTGTTTATCAATAAATGGTCATCTTTATTATAATATTTGAAGGAACATCAAATGAAACACTAGCTGAAAACGTCAATCATCACGTTTGAACTCCTTTTATAATGATAAATTATGTTGAAAAGCTAGAACATAATTAAATGGCCATCTATGAAGCTTAGGAACAGCTTCCTTGCTTGCTTTCAGTTATATAAAGAGTCATCAGTAGTCTTCATCCTTGAGCTCAACGAAGGAGGTAGAAAGGGAAGGAATAAGAGCCCTCGAAATGGGCTCTTCTCTTGTGATCCCTTTCTTGGTTCTCATCCTCAGCCTTTGGGCCTTGACACCTGCCTCCGCCGATAGAAAAGCAAGGGCAACTATGCTGATATCTATGTTATCCTTTTCGATTTGGCCTGTTGTCCAGAAACCCTTATTCTTTTCTAAGATCTATCTTCTATTGATTAATTTTTTCTGACTCTCCACAGCAGTCTTATGTGGTGTACATGGGGAGTCATCTTCAGAGCCGAGGAGAAGCCTCTTTGATAAGTTCAAACGACGTCACTGCCTCCCATCACGAGTTTCTTGGATCCTTTCTGGGAAGGTGCTCGAACCTTCCTTCCAAAGCTGGGGGGAATTGTTCGGCTCCAAACCAAATGATCGAGGCTGCTATTAGTCAAATCCATTAATTATGAATTATGTTTCAGCAAGGAGAGGGCATCAGATGCAATCTTCTACTTATACACGAGATTCATCAATGGGTTCGCGGCAATCCGCGGCGAGGAGGCAATGGAAATATCACGTGGGACGCCGCAATTTTTCTTTTCTGAGTACTCCTAATTTCTTCTATTTTCTCAAGTTTGCAAATTGTCTCCTTAATATGTTTTTGACCATCCGAAATCTTTAGGGTCACCGCAGGTCATGTTGGTGTTCCCCAACGGGGGACGGAAACTTCATACGACCCGTTAATGGGAGTTCATGGGCTTAGAAAGTGACGACAGAGGTCCGGCGTACTCCCCATGGAGGCAAGCGAGATATGGGGAGGACACCGTCGTTGGGAACCTGGATACTGGTACGTTTTCTCTAGCTTTGATCTTCCTCGTGCTTTCTTTATTCTTTTGGTTTATTACCACAGCTTTCTGACACTCGTACCGAATCTTCAATTTGAACATCTCCGTCGAAGAGTGGTGACCTCTTCAATTTTTCTGCTCACTCATGTATTTTTTGGCCAATTCCTCCGGCAACAAGAGTATGGCTGGAGTCGGCCAGCTTCAACGATGCAGACTTGGGGCCCATCCCATCGAGGTGGAAGGGAACCTATGAGAGCAGCCCCATTGATGGTGTTAAGTGCAACATGAATGTTGTTGCTCAACTCGCATTTAGGTCTCAAGGTTTGGAATGGGACCAGAGTCAGGATCATACGTAATTTCCCCATTATGATCCCTTATGCCATCCCAATCTACCTCATCACTATCATCATCTCTTCTTCCTGGCTTAATAATACCTAATTGTCTGTTTTGGACTTCGGCACATCATTCATTATATTTGACATAGCAAATACATCTGTTGAAAATAGGATTGATAGGATTGATGGATACGATGCTTGTTCAGGTCAGCATCCCTTGGTTGACATAATTCTTCTATTCTTCACCTCCTTCCATTCTCTTTGGTAAAAACACTCAAAGCGTTTTGCTAGTGATGTTAGGTATTTGATATTTTACCATACACGGTTGGACTTCATTGACGTAGGAAGCTGATCGGGGCGAGATTCTTCAACAAAGGCTATGTAGCAGCACTGGGTGCAATCAATGCCAATCTAAATACCGTTCGTGACACTGATGGCCATGGCACCGACACACTGGACACTGCTGGCGGCTCGTTCGCTCCTTGTGCAAGTATATTGGGCTTCGCTAACGGCACAGCCAAGGGCGGGTCTCCCAAAGCTCATGTGGTGTACCGAGTCTGCTGGCCACCAGTACGTGGCATTGCATGCTTTGATGCCGACATCATTGCCAGTTTCGAGGCAGCAATCCACGACAGCGTTGACGTGCTCTCAGTGTCCCTCGGCAGTGTCCCGCGAGAGTACCTCAAGGATGGGTTAGCCCTCAAATCGTTCCACGCTATGAAGCACGGGATCAGCGTAGTTTGTTCTGGAGGGAACGGTGGCCCTAATTGGGAGACAATGAGCAATGTTGCACCATGGATCCTCATACGTCATCGCCAATACGATGGACCGAGAGTTCCCCACCTATATAGTTCTCAAAAATGGAAAGCAACTCTAGGTCGGCTATATCATGTTGGCTTTGAGAAGCCAGGAACGAACTCAAGTTCCCTAAAATCTAAAAAGAAACAAGAAATCGAAAGAAGAATCAAGAATACTCAAATGAATTCAAGTACTGAATATGTGCAAATCACATTTTATCGAACACATAGTCTCTTATTTATAGAGACCTAATAGGAAGAGGAGAGAGGGTGAGTGTAACGACTGTTGGATGAGCTAGCACCCTGTCTCACGTGGTCACTTATCCGCTGTTATAACTCCCGATGATGTGCGGCTTAGATTAACCCTCCAAAAGAAGCTTAACAAACTAAAGTAGGAAGTACGCCCAAATTGTTCATTGTTGGGCAGCTCGACAGAGACAGAGAGCTATGGCAGTTAAAAGCGGAGCTGGAGCTAAGCCTTCAATCTCTTTCTTGCTCTTGCTCCTTCGTACGAATGCTTCAAACACCCAGCCGCTCCTAAATATCTAGAAATTTCAGCCTTCTCAGCGATATGGTCAAGATATCAGCCATCTGATCTTTCATTTGAATGAATTTAACTTCAATCTTCTTTTCCTCCACACATTTCTGAATAAAATGATATCTTATGTTAATATACTTCGTGCGACTGTGATGCATAGGATTCTTGCTTAAAGTGATTGCTGATTGATTGTCCACGAACAATTTCATGGGCCTCTCTTCTAGACCCTTCAATTCCATGATGAGCCGATTCAACCAAATTCATTGACAAGTAGTTGATGTAGCGGCAATGTACTCAACTTCACATAAGGATAAGGCCACCGTCTTCTGCTTCTATAAAGCCCAACTGATGATGCATGAACCCAAGAAGAAGACTTGCCCTCAAGTGCTTCTTCAATCATCAACATAACCGGCAAAGTTGCTATTGTTATATCCAAGAAAAGAATCCTTCGATTGATTCTTCAAGTAGACAAGTCCATAGTCTATCGTGCCTTTAACATATCTCAAAATTCTCTTCGTTGTTGTGTGATGTTCTATGGTTGGATTCTCTATGTATCTACTCAGCAAGACAACTGAGAAGATTAAATCAGGTCTAGTATGAATTAAATACCTAAGACTCCCAATAATGCTCTGAAATTCGGTGGGATTTGCATGAGTGCCTTCACCTTGTTGGCTGACCTTGACTTGAGTTTCTAGAGGTGTTTGAGACGGATTGCAATTTAGAAGTCCCTTCACCTCTAGAATTCAACGAGCATACCAGCTTTGGTTGAGGCTGATACAGTTAATGTCTTGATTGATCTGAATACCTAAATAGGAACTCAATGATCTGAGATCACTCATCTCAAATTTGTCCTTCATCTGCCTCTTGAATTCATCGACATCACATGATCTTGAGCTGGTAACAATCAAGTCATCCACATATACTCCAACTATTAACCTCCATTCTCTTAATTGTTTTAAATAGACAACTTGTTTATGACGGCTTTTAGAAAAACCAAGTGCTAGGAGGCACTTATGGAGCTTGAAATACTAAGCATGAGGGGCCTGTTTTAATCCATATAGATTTTTTTTCAGTCTAAAGACAAAATCCTCTCTACCCTTCATAATGAGCCCTTCCAACTGCTTCACATAAAGCTCCTCCTCTACTTCTCCATTTAAAAAGGCAAACTTGGCATCGAAATGATGCAAAGTCCAACCTCTTTGAGCAGGAATTGGTATGAGAACTCGTACGGACTCAAACCTCATAGGGGCAAAGACTTCATCACAGTCTATGCCCTGTCTTTGTGAGTATCCTTTCACAACCAGCTGTACCTTGTGCCTCACAATTGACCCTTGTGCCGTCTTCTTGAGTTTAAAAATCCACTTGAGTCTAATAGGCCTGTAATCGGATGGAGTAGCCACCAGCTCCTGGTTTGACTACGATCAATAGCCTCCATCTCATCTATCATAGCTTTCTTCCATGACTCCTCTCGACCTACTTCATTGTAAGTAGCTGGTTCTTTGAGTGTGAGAAGACAGTCTTCATCATCGTTTGGCATTGGGCTTGTCTCAGCATAAATCTGAGTAATAGATTTAGACTTTAGGGGCTCGCTTTCATGAGACCCAAGGTGAGAGGCTAGAACTTCATCTAGAATCTCAAATTGCTCGACTTTAGCTTCTTCTTCTTCTTCTTCTAAGACAATTGGCTCCACTAGTCTCTACTCAGCAGATAATTCAGGTAGAAAAGTGACTGGAGGAACACTCTTACCTCACTGGGCTCAGTTCCATTTTCCATTTTCTTCAAAAATCACGTCACGACTAATATGTACTGTGCCGTTGATTGGATCAAAATAGTGGTATAAGGACATGATTGCCTTATTCTTCCTCTCCACGATCCCATTCTGCTGAGGTGATTTTTGATATGGGGCAGTCAATTCCCATTTAATACCCTGTGACATACAAAATTCAATGAATTCATCAGATACAAACTCTCCTCCTCTATCTGATCGAAGACATTGAATTTTGGTATTCTTCTCTACTTCTACCAGAGCTTTAAATCACTTGAGTTCACTCAAAGCATCTGACTTGGCTTTCAGCATTGCTACCCACATCAATCGCAAGTAGTCATCCACAGTTAGAAGAAAATACCTACTTTCTCCCAAAGTGGATGGGTAATCACATAAATCAACATGAACAAGTTCTAGAGGTGTCAAAGCTTTAAAATTTGATGCAGAGGGAAATGGAGTCCGATGTTGCTTACCGGCAACACAACTCTAGTAGATATGATTAGGTATATTGATCTGAGGAAGTCCATCAACTAACTACTTGCTTGACATCTCTTTTAATGCATAGAAATTTAGATGCCCAAATCGAGAGTGCCACAGCCAATTCTCTTACTCTTGAGCTGAGGTGAGGAGACAGTGAACTTCAACATCTAGCCTCAGAAGATAAAGTCATCCCTTAGTACGCTGGACATCTGCAAACATTTGAACTTTAGGGTCAATGATGGTCAACTTACCTCCATAGACTATCATCCGGCAGCCTTCTTCATCCAAGTGGCCAAGGATCAAAATATTTGCCTTCAATTTAGGAACATAAAGTACATTTGCCAACTAAAACTATCCTCCATTCTTTTGATTTATCAAAAGACTCCCATGGCCTTCAATTTCCACCCACGAATTATCTCCAAACTTAACTACTCTAGAGGCCGATTCCACGAGGTTTTCGAAAAAATTCTGACAACCAGACATGTGATTCGTGGCCCCTATGTCAAGATACCACAGGTCTAAATCACCGAGCTCACTTTAAGAGCCTTGAAGAAGTAGCTCGACATGTTCTTCCACCACTGCCATCAGGAGAGAGGAAACTACTGTCAGAGCAGAGGATTCTGCCACATATGCACGATCCTCCTCTTTCTTAGCACTACGATGCTCGTATGCAAATTGTCCATACTTCTGACAATTATAGCACTGAGTGTTGGACTTGTTAAATGACTTTTTCTCTTCATCATGAGGCAAATGATGTCTTCGGCCACAACTTCTACCTCTTATTCCGCCGCGGCCGTGATGACGGCCTCTTCTACGAGATGAGGACTCCTCACTTGGAATTTTCGCTTTGCTTAGTGCTCTGGCTAGCAACGCCTATTCCTCTTCGCATGACTTGCGTTCCTTGACCCACAACTCATAAACTGTAAGGGAGCCAATCACTTTGTCGACACTAACCTTGTCCACATCTCTATATTGCTCCAGAGACAAGGTAAGTGCATCAAATTTTGAGGGCGTCACCCCTAGAAGTCGATGCACGATGTTTCGCTCTTCCATCGTCTCTCCCAAGTCCACAATTCGGAGATGATGCGTGTGAATTTCATCACAAAATCCACTACATCTTCATCCTTTGTCATAGTGAGAATTTCAATTCATGTTTCAAACCTGAGATGTGTGACTAAATCACTCTATCGATGCCAAGGTTTCTTGACCGAAGGATCTCCTAGTTCTCTTTTGGCGTCTTCTTGGCATCAAGAACTGTCATCATTCTCTTCGACAATGGCCTGCCATAAATCGTGAGAATCAAGATATACCTCCATTCTCAGTGACCAAATGCAGTAATTGGTCTTGGAGAGCTTGAGAGATGGCGCTGGTGCCACCATCTCCCCCCCACGCTCACCTGGGGTACTTGTCTCACCGGCTTTCTTCGTCATCTGCTTGATCCCGTCGAACTGACTAGCTCTGATATCACTTGTTGGCTTTGAGAAGTCAAGAACGACCTCAAGTTCTCCAAAATCAAAAAGAAAACAAAAAATCGGAAGAAGAATCAAGAATACTAAAATGAATTGAAGTACTGAATATATGCAGTGCACATTTCATCGAACACATAGTTTCCTATTTATAGAGATCCAATAGGAAGAGGAGAGAGGGTGCGTTTAACGACCATTGGATGAGTTAGCACTGTGTCTCACGTGGCCACTTATCCGCCATTATAACTCTCGGGGATGTGCGACCCAGATTAACCCTGCAAAAGAAGCTTAACCAACTAAAGTAAGAAGTACGCCCAAATTGTTCATCTCTGGACAGCTAGATAGAGATAGAGAGCTATGGCGGTTAAAGGTGGAGCTGGAGCTAAGCCTTCATATCATTCCTGTCCTTCTGGCCTCTAATCGCTTTCTGCCCACCTTTAACCTTACGCTGCTTGCATGTTACGTTCCTCGCATTTCGTTCAGGGTCAGAGCTTGTCCTCCACTGGTTTCCCGCCCAACGAGTTCCATCCTTTGATCAGTTCGGCCTCCGCTCGTGCCGCCAGTTCCACGCTCGATGAGGCATAAGGATAACCACATCACTACCACTTCCAACTTTATTAGTCGTATTATTTACTTAGGATAACCGTGATCAAGGCGTTTAGAACTCTTGCAGAGAACGCTGCCTCATGGGATCATTGGACCCAAAGAAGGTGAGTGGGAAGATCGTGGCATGCTTCGGGGGAAACTGCACCAGCGCGGAGAAGAGCCAGACGGTTCTCCTGGCGGGCGGGATTGTAATGATCCTCCCAAACCTCCCAAGTCAGGCCTACGGCGTAATAGCTGAACACTCGTCGTCCCAGCCGTCTCGCTTTCATATCAAGATGGCCGCATCCTGTCGTCTTACATACACTCGGTGACGTAAGTATCCACGTACATTTGAGAAGGCGTACTCTGCTTTTTAATAACAAAAAAACCATTTTGAAGTTTTAAAACTGGGCTCAAGAACAGACCCCATAGCAGAAATTTTTGCTCATAGTGGACTTGCCCGCTGCCTACGGGTGTACGAAGGGTTGGACTGCTATGGGACGGACAGGGAACAGGACGGTCTCTACGGAATGTTATAAAAGGAAACAGGAATGCATCACCATGGACAGATGGAGTCGAGTTAATTTCATATGTGGTGTTAGAACGATGCTTATTTCCTCTGTTGTTGTTATAAACTTTGCACTTTTTAAGAGTCTTATTAAATATTACACTTTTAAAAATAATCGTCTGTGACAACTTGATTTTGCAGTTTTTTAAAAAAATTAAGAAGAATTATATCACTAGAAATGTACTCCTCAGTTGAGCCATCAAATTAACATCTAAGTTTGTTCAATGGAAACACTTTATTTTCGTTTCTTGATCTTTTTTATAATTTTTTATGTTCAAATTTAGTAAAAAAAATTTAATGGATATTTTCTATTGAAAATATAGTCATTATCTCTCTTCCTCGCTGGAATGAAAAGCTAAAGAATTGTTACGTAATACTCGCCTGGCACCAAGTCTCCTATCGCAAGTATCTCCGCACCTTCCACACAGGTCGGCACCCAGCCGGCGCCTATGATGGCTCACTTCTCGTCTCGTGGGCCGAATCCTGTCAACCAGGAGGTTCAACCTCGACAAAGTTCCACTCTCACTATCTCTCTGTCTCTATCTCTTTATCTATCTATCTATCTCTAACGCTTAAATGGTTTGGCAGCCAGATATCACTGCACCTGGGGTGAGCGTTCTTGCCGCCTTCACGGGGGCAAGGAGTCCGTCCGGTATCCTACTTGATAAACGCCGGGTTTTGTTCAACATAATTTCCGGAACGTTGATGTCGTGCCCTCACATCGCCGGGATCGTCGGCCTCCTAAAGAGCCTCCACCTGGACTGGAGCCCGGCGGCGATCAAGTCGCCGATCAAGACCAATGGTTGGTTTCAACAAGCAGACGGTGCTGAACATTAGATTACACTAAGTTTCTCTATCCTATGTGCGCCTCGTTTCTTCCGTTCGCCTGCGGCAACGATTGAAGATAACACGGGCAAGGACATACCTGATTCCTTCCTCCTTAACGCCACTTCATTCAGCTACGGCGCCGGGCAAGTCCAACCGAACCGCGTTGCGGATCCTGGCTTGGTATATGACCTGACAGTGAAGGACTACCTCAACTTCCTCTGTGCCAACGGATACAGGTCTAAACAGGTGGCCAACTTCGCGGAGACGCCGTTTTCGTGTCCGCAGAACCCTCCCCGAATCGTGGACCTCAATTATCCCTCCATCACCGTGCCGGAGCTCTCTGGCCGTACAGCGGTTGCCCGTAGGGTGAAGAACGTCGGTTGTCCGGGCACGTACAAGGCACAAGTGAAACGACCGAGGGGTGTCTCGGTTGTCAGAAACTCGTCGGAGAGACGACGGCAGTTAAGACGTCGCCGGCGAGGTCACCTCACGAGTCACAGGAAAAACCCAGCAGGAGGAACAAGGAAGACTATCTCTCTCATTGAAAACCTCTTACAGGCCTCTTTAAATAAGGGAGCAAAAGGGGGGAAAGGAATAACCGTAAGAAATAACTAGCTGGCCAAAACTGGCCAGTACCGTGCGTTATGCAGGAAATCCCGCATTACCTAATTCCGGTATACGTCAGAGCACTTCTCGCATAACCGCACTATGCCGTTATGCGAACAGGGGGGGGGCACGTGCAAGGCTCCCGTTCACAACATCGGTGACGATGATTCCGGAGACCATTGTGTTTACCAGAAGCGGGGAGGAGAAGGCCTTCAGTGTTACAGTGGAGGCTGACCGCGGCGCGTCGGCAGGGTATGTTGGTGGCTAGTTGACATGGTCGGACGGGATTCACCACGTCACAAGCCCACTGGTCATCGATATCGTGTGATCAAAACAGAGGTCGGACGACCTGTGAAGTTCATTAGTCGCTTCCCCGCCACTGTCCTGTGTTAGTGAAGGCCACTGAAATAAATGTTGATCTTGATTAAAGTCGTTTTCTTTGTTTGAAAGAAATGATTTCTCTATGACTGAAAAGTGAGCTAACAGCTGAGGAAAAGTGATGTCTTTCGTCGAAGAAAGTTTCTAACATTTTAATCCGATCCTAAAATTGATGACTGCATAAAAAAATAAAAGCATGTGCCTTTATATTGGACTTGACTGCAATTTATTAGCGTCATTGTTCCTTTAGGAGAGCCGCATTCACACAAAAGTATTTCGAATAAGTGTCAAAAACTTAGTCTGGTTAGGTAACACATATTACATTCATCAAAAAGAGGTTTTACCTTGATATCTCAATGATTTAAAAGTAACCATTTCTGTATGTTCTTTTAGAGCATTTTAAACATCTATGTTTCAGCAACAAAAGCTTCAGCGATAAAAGATGGCACTCGAGAATGATACATACACTCCCATGCTTGAATGAAACTAGATAAGAATTTATTAGGGATGACGAGTGTCCTAATTTCTCCTTCTTGCACAGTGGAAGTTTGATGCAAAATACACTACGAGAGAGACAGATGGATAGAGGTGAGAATAATAAAGACACCAGATTGACATGGATCAGAGAAACCTCTTCTGTCCACGATTGAATATAAATCATCTTTCTTCAGGAGAATCGTCTATTACTACCCTCGGTACAAACCTTCTGTGCTCACGCAGCATACCTTTAATCCCTGAAAAGGGAGATGGCGGCACTCTTTCTTTTTGGGAAAATTAAGGAAAAAATCATGGGACACGACGCAGGAGTTGAATCCATGTATTCACGGAATAGCTCATCAGAGCCTAATAGGGCCCAATAGAAAATCATCAAAGATGATCTCATCAACAAATATGGCTTGACTCCTACTATACCTTCTTGAGAGTTCTTGCATAAACACATCACCATAAACAAAAGATGGACCAACTATTTTCCAATAATTACGTTCAACATTCATCCTTGTATAGCCCAAATTGATCAAGCTTAAATCATAGTAGTATCCTTGATAGCATTGACTAACAATATGAGTGATGTGGGACCAAAGAGAAATTTCAATACTGAATAGAAGGTTAGGATTTAAGATTGCCCTTGGTTAAGTTAGGGGGGATTATGATTACGCTAATCTCGCTGATCTAATTAGGATCGTAATTATCTGAGAAGAACTACACTTCCAAGGATTCAGATAAAGTTCTAACTAGGGTGTTAGGATCACTGATAAAGGTACAAAGAGAGCTAGCCTATGGTTCATTCAATTCCTATAAGGAGTAAGGATTTAAAAATAATGATCACTTCACAAAGGGAGTTGAAATCAACATACCTTGTAAAAGGAGCTTCTGGAGTAATTTCCTTAATTCTAGTGGCTTGAGATCTGTGAGTCTTCTTGAAGAATTTCTATTGGGTGATGATTCAAGGAAATGGGAGGTTTGGGTTGGGTAGCTAAGGTTACTAAGATTTTCTTTTTGCTATTGGACGGATTCAAACTGTGGCTGATTTAGTCTCCAATCCTCTGCATCTCAAGTGAGCGACGCTCTTGCACTAGCTGGGCTTGAATCAACAAATATGGTTATAAGAGTTGGCTTCACGAAAAGCAATGAGTAAATAGGTTCTAAAACAAATAGCTCTCCTCGCTCTCTATCTCTCTCTCTCTATTGGACTACTTCACATGCTGATATGATAAATTTATACTTCAATGACTATTTGGCTGCCAATTTTGGTACCTCAATCAACCCACATTACTAGTATAAAAATTCTATCAATCTTTAGATGGCTAGATAAAATGACATAGGGAGGGGTATAAATTAAATTTTATAGTTTAATTTAATTAATTATAACAAGTCTTATTATATCTCTATATATTAATATGTAAATATAGAATAAGTTAATAAAAACAATTGCTTATTATATTTTAAAGTGGTTCTATTAAACTCTTTTGACTTACATTAGTTTAGATCCACTATTTCA